AAATGTAGAGTATTTCTTTTGCTTATGGTATATATTAATTATTAGTTCATTGTCTTTCTCTTCCTTCTACTCTTATCTATGTGGGTGGCTCCTCAATATAAATTATAATTTAAACTACCCCCTTAATTAATAAATAAATAAACTTATTTTATTTTATATTATTATTATTTATTATTATTTTTTTAACCTTTTGTGTGTTTTTTTGAAATAAGAAGGTATTGGGGGTTTTTTTTTGTAGGAAAACAACACTGCTGTCCCCCCCTTCAAGTGGAACTCCCCAACCCCAATACTGCTAACGAGGGGGAGGAGTCCCCCTCCAGAGAGAGAACCAACAAACCACACCAATCTTATGGGGTCTTGGGTAAACATACGTGTGGTGGAAAGATGGAGAGAGAGCAGACGAAAGAAAGAAGCCAAATTGAAGAAAGACAGCAAACCGATCACTTTACCACCGCCTCCCGTGTGGCCAGCTCGGCTCAAACCCAGAACACTCACCAAACCCATTCCCATGTCAGGTATACAGTGTGTGAATGAATCTAGCATGCAAGTAAAGTGCGCATTGAGGATAATGCTAGATCAGAAGGATTTGATTGCCAGTATTGAGAGAATGAGGCAGCGATAATAAGTAGTATTGGTGCCATATTGATCTTGCATGATCACTTAAGCCCTTATGTGCATACTGACAAATTCCATTTAATGCCTCCACCTCTCCTCAAGGGTTACTGAGAGTTAGTTTCACACACACTCAGGTATGGAGGGGAGGTCTGAGGCAATAGCAGAGAGGAGGAGGAAGAGGGAGGAGAGGGAGAGGGAGAAAGAGAGGGAGAGAGAGAGAGGGAGAGGAGGGAGGAGGAGGAGAGGAAGGAGAGGGAGCAGAAAGAGAGAGAGGCTGTGGCTGCAAAACGAAGAGAAGAAAGAAGACTAGCAAAACAGGTGAATGCCTCTATGTTCTCAATTGTCCTACAAATGAGGGCTTTATCTGCGACACATAACATTAGAACTTTCACTGTTTTAAAGCTCAGGAGGCAGAAATATTAATGTTCTGTCTGTATTCCCAGAGAGAGGTGGAGAGGAGGGAGAGAGAGAGAGGGAGAGAGAGCAGCTGGCTGTGGCAGTAGTCCACTACACCAGAGGTCTCCTGAGGACCAGAGGACTGGGGGCATGGCTGAGGTTCATGGAGGACAGGAGGAGAGAGAGGGAGAGGGCTGCCCAGTTCCACACACACTGGAGGTCAGGGAACTATTACTGTTTGAGAATGTGCTCTTGCCTGACAGTGTATGTAGAGAGAGGTGGTTCTTGTGGGTTATCAGGTTACAATATATAGCAGGGGGAAGTGAAGTTTACCTAGGTTCATGCCCTTAGTATGGGTAACAGCAGTGGTATTCATTTGAGTTGTCCATCCCTCAGTGTGAGATTAACAGTGTGTGTGTGTGTGTGTGTGTGTGTAGGTTGAGGTGTTGTCTATGTAAGTGGAGGGATGTGGTGGAAGGAAGAGAGAAGGACCCGAGAAGAGACTGCTGGCGAGCTCCACCAGAAGATGCTGAAAAGAAGAGCATGGAACCATTGGAGAGAGGTTGGTGCTATACCTATTTACACTGTGTGTATGACGGGACTAGACAGACTTACTTTATTGTGCACCGAACCCATCAACAGTAACTTGTTACACTGCATAGTGGAAAGAAATGGAGCAGTTAGAGTTATAATTATACATTTTTCTCCCCACAATGTTTTGTATCACTTACAAAATCAGTTGAAATCTGCAAAATCCTATACAGTGGACGAGTTAAAAGCCCTGATTTTAAAGAATTGTCCCCTGTGTGGTGTGTGTGCAGTACATGAGGGAGTGTTGGAGGCTGGAGGCTGTGAGCCAGGAGATGTCCAGAGAGCTACTGAGGAGAGCGGTGTTCAGAGGCTGGGTCAGAGTGACTGCCACTGCCCGCAGACTGGACTGGGAGAGAGAGAGGAGGGCCAAGATTCACCACCACAGGTTTGATAGATAGATAGTAGCTGATGTGTGTGTGTGTGTGTACCTCTCCATATATACTGTTGTGGGTTGAAGTTGTTTTTGTGTGTTTCCAGCTACTGTAGATCATACGAGGATTATTTGCTGGTTTGTGCAACTCAAGCCTATATAGTGTGCACATATATACGAGTACCAGATTCTGTACAACTCCTGATATTACCCACTTTATGAAGTTATAGGCAGAGCGTTGTGGTCTCATGTGACTTGTCCAAGGAAGTTGCATTATACCACAGAGCTCTGACTATAACTTCACACAAAGCGAGAAATGTCAGAAGCCCTACAGCCTATGGAGATTGTATTGCTACTCCTGACTGCAGACAGCTGAAGGAGAGGGTGTTGAGAAGATGGAGGGAGTATGTTCCTCTGGCCAGAGAGGAGAGAGAGAGGGAGGTCCGCAGAGCTGGTCTCAGGAGGAAGGTCTCCCAGTGGCTCCCCGACTACCAGCCAATGGACTTTGACCAGGAGAACCAATGATTGCTAAAAGAGCTATATATAATGGATGTGATACATGCAGCTTGCAAAAAAGTAGCTACCATCACCAGTAAAATAGAAGATTTGCCATCCACAATAATTGATCGATGCAAAAATACTGTCAGCTATGGCTAACAACTTTGGTCAATAATGCGGGATTTTGTACATCATTAGATAGTGTATATACTCGTATAGTGGCAGCAAGAGAGCCAGGCCTTCTCCTCCACATGCACATGCTCTGAATGTCTGTTACCACCGTGCAATTCGGGCAAATTAATAAGGCAGCGTTTTAGTCATAACACTGCTGTGTCATGTTGTGACTGTCCACAAAGTCACCTGCCCATCAACATCTCCTGAGTGATTCGACAAGCTTCCTTGAAGAGATTGAGGCAGCGGTTGGGGCATGGTCCTCCAGGTCCACCAGATGGCAATATAGTGTAGCTCAAAATGACTCAAGGTGCCAGATCTAGACCAATGAAGCCACTTTATCCAGGCACAGAGCAAAGTGATTTAAACATGACGACACTGCCTCTTCACCACCAATGAATAATTAGGTGCACAAGAAAGCTGACACTGATACATTAATTACCATCGGCGCGCATGCGCAGCGAGGGTACAGTAGTTGGGTTTGTCTGTTACTCTATATCTCACTCCTGGAACGTCTGTTCGTCCCAGAAACGATACCATCTACCCAACGGGCGACGAAGGTCAGAAAGTAAAGGCGGTTTTCTCTGAAAATGCTCCGTTGTAAAGCTGGGGCACGAAAAAGCCAATATGCAAATACGCGACGGACGGACTGATCGATCCGCGACCTCGGAGGCACCAGAAGATGCAACGCAGGGCGTGTATCGCCTCTCGCATGCTGTCTAGTAGTGTTGTTAGCCCGCGTCAGACTCTGCGCGAGATGGCTAGAGACCAGTCCAGGACCAGAACTAAACCCAGCCCATCAATTAGTGATGCAGCGCATGCGTTTACTCACGCGTGCGCATCACAATGCGCCGAGGGTTTGCACTTCAGTGCTTTTCAGTTAACCCTCGGCGCGCATGCGCAGCGAGGGTTACAGTACTTGGGTCTGTCCGTGTGTCTGTGTGTCTGTCTGTTACTCACCTCTCGAATGTCTGTTCGTCCCAGAAACGATACCATCTACCCAACGGGTGACGAAGGTCAGAAAATATGTGGGGTTTTCTCTGAAAATGCTCCGTTGCAGAGCTAGAGCGCGAAAAAGCCATTATGCAAATACGCAACGGACGGGAAGGCTTACCGCGGTCTGATCGATCCGCGTGCTCTGCGTACCTCGGAGGCACCAGAAGATGCAACGCAGGGCGTGTATCGCCTCTCGCATGCTATCTAATAGTGTAGTTAGCCCGCGTCAGATTCTGCGCGAGCTGGCAAGAGTAACAGCGCATGCGTTTACTCACGCGTGCGCGTCACAATGCGCCGATGGTTTGCACTTCAGTGCTTTTCATTATTAATGTATCAGTGTCAGCTTTCTTGTAGCCTAGCTAGTTTTTGTGCAATTACGGATCGCTGACACATTCGCTGTAAAATTATGGATATTATTATTGCTAACAGGTAAATATCAATCTCCACCTTCATGATAATATTGCAGCACACAAGAGATTTACATGATGATTCATAGTTCATCTCTGTAGTTGGAATTGAGTGCTTCTCTGAGTTGTTTGGCAACCCTTCCAAGTGCTGGTACGCGATCTAAACCCCGTAATAACCCAGCCCAGGTGGCATCTTCACCTTTGTTTATCCAACTCAAAAGAATTTCTCTGCAAATGTCTGAAGGTTTATCATACATGCTTCTAAACCCCTTAATTGTGGCAGGACCAATGTCCAACTGAATACCGAGGTCCTCACAGTCATTTTGGGCCGAATCGATGAAACGAAAATGTCTATTCTTCCCTTGAGTGTCAATGTATTTTATGTGATACAGCTCTTTAAGTGTCGGTTCCTTCATCTGCCATAATCCTACAAGTTGCAATATAGCTACAAAATAAAAGTACTGCTATTTTGTCTTACCTGGAGTAGGGTCCACTGAATTGAAACCAAATGCTATGAATATTATTCCTCCTATTATCCCAAACAGTACTAGACATAACATATACAAGTAACACCAAGAGGACGTTCCTAATGGAGGGATAAAGAAGACAAAAGGTTAGGCAAAGTAATAAACTACCTTTTTCTGTCCAAACATTCTCGGGGGTATCTTTATTGCCAAACTTGCAAATATATGTTTTAGGTATATAGTTTGAAATACTGCGTATGTCTTTGTATGTGTGTCGTCACCTCTCCCTTCCCGCAGTATATCAGAGAGTTGGAGGGAGTGGTGAGATGGAGTCCTCCCTCCTCCCTCCAGCCTGCCCTCCTCACCAACCTCACGGCGACCTACGACCTCGAGTCTAGCTCCGCCCACTCCAAGAAACTCTCCTTCCTCCCTCTCTTGGGACAGCATGTGGGAGAGGGGTTTCCCCTCACCTCTCTCGGTCCTAGATGAGACTGGACGTGAATTAGTGTAGTGTGTGTGTTTCTTTGTGTAGCACAGATGTTGCAACGGCTAGGTCCCACTCGCCAATAAATGTACACTCTTTAGCTATATACCACTTCTTTTTCAAAGAGGCTGAAGAGCGTGTCACTCTCCTCGAATGTTCCACTGTACTGCTGACACACCTTTTTGGAGTTGGTTCATTAGGAGGTTGTGTTACTCTCTTTCTTTTCCGACCTCCCTCAGACTGCAGTAGGGAGGCTGAAGGGAATAGATTGTAATGAATGAAAAAGAGAAAAGTTTGGAGTGTCTGCATACCTGTATCTCTCTCACTCCCTGTGTCCTTCATCGCAGACTGTGTCCCTATTGGTTTGGGAGTGGGAGACTTAGTCTCAAGACCTGCATAAGTACAGTAAGATGCATATGAAATACAATGACCTATTACAATATGTCACGTACCCTGACTGAGACTTGTAGCTGTGCGTATTTTTTCCCGTGTTGATGAAGGTGACCCAGTGGCACTGCCGGCAGACCTTTTTAAACCTGATGATTTCGAAGTTTGTGCTCCCCTCTCTGAAAACAGAGGTATACACTTGAATACATAAATTTCTGAGGATGTGAAGGCATACTTGTATCATCCTCACTGACTGTTTCGTCTGCCTTTCCAATGATCTGGTGAGAAGGGTGAGCTTGTGACCGAGCTGGAATGAAGAAGATGACATACATGTATGTATGTATGTAACCTGTGCTTTCAACTGTACGTACTGGGAGAAGGAAGTGTAAAGTGTTGCTCAATATCTCTGGCAAGAGGGTTCAGCTGAACATCTCTGAAACACAGGGCCAGTTTCTTCCATGAGTGGTCCTCATTTTCTTGTATCCATCTTTCATATATCATCCTGACAGCCTCAACTGGATTACCTAGTGCAGTTTGTTGTATACTCGTGACTATTGCCCCAGTGTCATCTTTGAGAAGGATGGTTCCAATGTCTCGGTATTTCATTGCACTTCTTTCCAAGATCCTTATGTGTCGCCCTTTAGAAGTTGATAGCTTCATCAGGTCTCCCATGGCAACATTTCCTGCAATAACACAAAGGTGTATCCTGGCTACAATACACTGCAATATCGAGTGGAAAAAAATGCAGGATCAAAATTAATATTAGTGGCACCTGAAACTTTGCCACTGCTCTTTGTAGTACTTGTGTCAGACTCCTGCCTCTCTGAGGCTATGTGTGTTTCATTGGATGACAGACTGACTTCACCTATAAGAGAACAGTTTTGGGTTAGGAAGAACAAAGATCAATGAAAGCTGTGGAAGTAATGCCTGTCAGGTTGAGCGACAGGTACTATGATTGAACTGACCAATGTCTGCTTTTTGGGTAGCATCCTGAAGAACAAGTTGGGGTTGCGGTACCTCTGGTCCTGCAAACAAACATTGGGAAAAGAGTCTTCACGTGCATGTACAAAAACACACTGGGTTACCTGGTCCACCAAGCCACACAGTCTGACGTGGAGAGAGATCAGAAGATATATCTGTATCCTTATCGCATATCAAGTACTTCATTGTGTCATCAATGCGGGCCACATGTAGCTCTCTGCTACTAACTACATTCTGGTGAGCTGGGCAGACAAATGCAGGCTTTGGGGAAGTGTCTTTGTGGTGAGTGTTGCGTAGACCTGCTTTGACCGCATCAAACACCTCAGACTTGATAACCTCGCAGTGTCTGACTAAATTTTCACCATTTATCTTTCTGATATCAACATTTACACAGATGGCAAAGAATGAGAAGTTGTCGATTAATGTCACTGAGCCAAGCCTGCCACGCTTTGTGAACGTGATAGAATTACGTGAGATATAGTTGACTGGTGTTTCTGATGATTCGGTGTCACATTTCGTTGGCTTTTTGATTTTCCAGCCAGCCTGTGTCTGAAGGTGGCACACACTGCAGCAGAAGACACCAGGAGGAGCCCAGCCTGTGGGGAACTCCACCACTAGAGGTGCTACTTGGCAAGCATTGAGGGAAATTCTCACGTCCTCTGTCATATTAAGGATTGCTGGAAAAAAATATTCACCCTCTGACGACTTGGAAATTATAAGAAGCTTTTCAAGCAGTACCAATAAATCACGGCGCGTGAATATTTCATCCACATAGTGGTTCGGGAACTTGGTTAGAAAATTAGGAATGAGAATGCCATTATCTCTGAACTTTATCCAATCTCCTGTTATAGCCTCATCAGCAGCTTTGGCAGGATCAGCTTCTGCAGCTTTCAAGTGGTACTGCTTTTCCACCAGTTCTGAAAGTTTGTCCAGTGGAACTTTTGCATCAGTGAACACAACATTGCGAAGAATGTCTTTCTTGTAGACAAAAATGTTTAACTTGTCATAGAAATCTAGAGCAGCATCAAGTTCTTCCTCTGAAAATCCCAGGGTGCGAGAGACACGTTTACATTCAGTTTTACTGAACACGCATCTTTTCAGCCTATCTGACAGTTGCTCTAGAATCTGTTGGAGGATGAACCACCAGATTGGTATCTTCACCTCTTTTGCTGACTCTTCAATGCTAGTTTTGATCTTATTCACTTCTTTACGGTCATCAGCACTATGATCTCTTGTATTGACTTGAAATACTACTTCTTTCAACCCTTCATTTCGGTAGACAATATTGTTGGAAAAGTGTTGTGATGAAATTTCAACAAATTTTTCATTTTTCTGAGAAGGACTTTCTTCACAGTCACTGGCTAAATCCTTGTGGGTGCCAACTGTGATTATCTTAGAGCGTTTCCCTTCATCACATAGTCCTTGAAGCATTGTCTTGAAGGCCTGTGCAGTGGTGAGTCTAGCTCTCTCTTCTGGTCCAACTCTCTCATCATTCTGGTAGAGATCGTTGAGAGGGTGTTCATCAAGTTTCTCACACAGTCGGTGGACAAAGAGTGTGGCCGAGGTGTCACGCATGAAGATGGGAACAAGGTCCCAGTAGGCTTGCTGTCCTCCACAGTCGGTCAGGTAGATCAGCTCCATGTCTAGTAGACGACGTGATGTGTCTGATCCACTTACCAATTGTGTGAAGCGCTTCATAACATCTTCAGAGACCACTTTTTGCATCTTCTGCTGAAAAGGTACGGCTAAACCTTCCGTGCCACTTTCATCAACACTAGTCTTGCTAGATCCTCCCCTAATTTCCTCAATACTGCCATTCTCACCCATAGCATTAGCAGCTGCATCTTTTATTGTCTCTGTGCTGCTAATATTTTTACCACTTGATTTCTCTTTTGTCTTCGCCCCAGTCCCTACATTCATAACACCTTCACCGACTCCTTTTATGGGCGAGAAACATTTATCCTGCTCTGGTTTAGTTACTTTATTTCCCTTTAATTCCTCACACAGCAAGGGAACTGCCTCAGCAATAATCTTCTCGAATTCATCATTGGATACCTCGCTCCACTCCTCCCCTTCTTTGCTTATACGTATTACTCGTATTGATCGTTCAGCACAGCCGGTGCTGTGTCTCTTGTCTGGTGGGTCTTTACCAAGGAGGAGGTAGATGAGGCAGGTTTTACCAACACCTGCAGGACCCACTACTATCACCTTCACCAGCTTCACCACCACATAGCCTTTCTTCATTGCCTCCTCAAAAAGTTCCTTCGATTTTCCTGTACAAGAATGTAGCAAACTATGCCGTGCCAGCACTTATGTATACACTTAAACTTTTAAGTGTTTAAATTTTAGAACTGTTCATAGTAGCTCGCATATATAGAGTTTACTAAGTGCCCACGGTGCCCTGTGCAACCCGTGCATGCATAAAAATAGGTGTGTGTCAATTGGAATACATTAAGTTAAACGTCTCGTCCACTGAAATCTATGCTGCACTAGAACGTCACAATGCAAGGGCCTTCAGGCATCCGTATTTAGTTACGTTAGACATTTTCTTACAGATTAGTCTGTGTCTGCAGCGTAAAAACGCAATACAAACTAGTTCAGTGCTACACAAGCAAGATAGAGTACAGTTTTTAAGTCAAGTCATGCCGTGAAAGGCAAGTGAGACAAGTGTGAATGTACCTGGGTGCAGCACATGCACGAACATCTGGCTTCAATATTGCATCAGTAACTAAAAATCTGACCACGAGGGCGTCCATTTACGTCATCTGCATCTAGCAATTGCGTTGCTAACCGCCATTTTTGTAGGCAAGCGTGCATTGAAAAGCATTGCAGGTAAACTGCTGAAGCACAGCCTGGCGAGAAAAAAGATGTGAAATCAATGAAACCTTAAGGCACGCTATAGCGCGGTTCCTAATCACAAGAAACTAACCTTGGTAATCAAACAGGACGATAGAAAATTATTGTTGCCTGGCTTTAAAGGGAATGTGTCAGTATAACTAAATAATAGAGCCCAGTGCAAGAATGCGATTCAGTAACAGTTTCTAAATTTAAACCTTACATACTGCCACATTCCCTTTAAGGACTGGATGTGAATGCACACGGCTGCTGCATTTGGTGCAGAACTGCATGCCAATGAAAGTACACCCATAAGCCCTATAACTACCAGCCCTTTGTGAAATTTCTGCTATATAGTCTATGGTGGCATGACTGTATAACTGTGGGTTGTCAGCAGTTGTTGTGCGCTGAAAGTTAATTAGCCATTCAGAGGATTAGGTTAAGATTAGTGAGGTACTCACGGGCCATCTCACAGGCCATCTCAATCTGGTCAGCCACACTTGACAGGTTACACTTTCTTAGTGCTGAGATAATACTCTTCCATGTCACATTCTCTGAGTTATCCATCCACTGTCTTAGGATCTCCAGGGTGATATCCATTGCTTTTCTCCCACATTTCTTTTTAATTTCGGCCATTTTATCTCCGGTTTCATCATTAAGGAGAAACTTGCCAAAGGAGTCATATTTGTCCGACACCGCAAGAGGAATGATAACACATAGCTCTGGTAGAGATGGAATGTCACCTGATACTGGGAGAGATTACTGAATGAAAGATGATATGCACTCAACAGTCACAAATAACTGGCGGCATCTCTAGTTAGCTGCCTGTAGTCACGGCCATGGCCTGAAAAGGCTTGGACATGCCATGATTGCCTAGAGTTGTAAGTGTTTGTATTGGGAAATTGAAGCTGTACTGCAGGCAACTTTTCATATCTCTACAAGTGTGCAAAAATCATTTCTTCAAAATCAAGGGGGATATAGGGATGGCTCAAAGCATGAAAGAGGAAAGAACAAGGGATCACACAGCTAAGACACACAAAGCTAGGCATGGCACCATCCCTATATCTTTATTCTATTGATTAACCATCGGCGCGCATGCGCAGCGAGGGTTACAGTAGTTGGTTTGTCTGACTGTGTGTGTGTCTAATGCTTATTCTAGCACTACAGGCTACGAGGCAGCCTATTAGCGATACCAGTGACTTCAGAACTACGCGAGCCTGAAAAATAAAAAGGGCGATTTTGCTGAAACGACTGCGTTCGAGAGATATGCTGTGAAAACAAGCGAAAAAGCCAATATTATGCGTAATCGCATTGGGCTTACTGCGACCTGATCCGCTCGCTCTGTATACCTTGGGGGCTCAGGAAGTCACAACGAATGGCATATATCGACTCCCGCATGCTATTTACTACTGCAGCTAGCCTGTGTCAGACTCTCCGCAAGCTACTAGCGGGAGACCACGAGTAAACGCATACAATTAACCCAGCCCATTAATTAGCAGTATCGCGCATGCGCAGTTCGCCGATGGTTTGCACTTTAATAAACCCTCGGCGCGCATGTGCAGCGAGGATTACAGTACTTGGTTTGTCCATCCGTCTGTCTGTCCGTCTGTTACCACGTTTTCTGCCACCACATGCAACAAACAGGTAAAATAGCAACACCAACGGGTTCAGTGCTACACTTCAACTGGTTCTGGTAAGGAGATGCGGGATTGAAGAAGAATATGATGATGACACGAAATCGTGAAATTCGTGTGTGAGCGAATTGTCACGTGGAGAACTGATGGCAAGTATGAAGTCTTTGGGCATATGTATAGCTAGATATTGGCCTGTAGGCTATTGCTAGTTATTTTTGAAAGCATGGTTATTCATTCTCGCCGAGTTTTGAGGAGTTTGTACGCGGATCACGTGAGATTTCACCTGTGCCATCCCTATATTACAGCATCTACCGACGCTCTAATAGAGTCATGCATCATCTGTTGAGGGGTGAGTCATGCTATCGGTCCGTACTTGAAATAGGTGTTTCAGTCGTCCAAGGATCATGTGTCTCTGTCTCTTCTTGTGCCAACCTTGGATCTGCAAAAGCGATGCAGACAGAAAAATATTTTAAGAGGGATACTGATCACCAGGAAAAAGTAGACAGCATACTCACAAGCAATCTCAATCTCCTCAGCCACAGCTGACAGGTCACACTTCCTGAGTGCTAAGACTATATTATACGGAGAGCCACAATTATCAAGCCAGTGCTTCAGAATCTCACAAACAATCATGTCCGTATCCCCATAATAATCATGTTCGATTATGGCCATTCTATTTTTATCATTCAGGAGGAACATTCCAAATGAGCTGTAATTTTCACCGACTTTTTGAGGAACGTCCATTAGCACCAACTGTCGTAGAGTTAATTGCCCATCTGAGACAGAGAAAGGAAACAATGTTGCCACAAAGCCATTCTACTATAGTGTTGCATGCTAACACACCTCCTACAGATGATATATGTGTAATAGGTGATGTACCAGGAGTTGTGTTCTCTGATTTTTCTCCAAATCCTTACATAGAGAACAAGAAATTAATATAAGTAACGTCGAACTCATACACATGCACGGTACTCCTATGCGTCTCTTGCTTGTAGCTTGTGGAGAGTCTGACAAAGGCTAGCTATAGACTAGTAAAAACATGCCGGAATCTACACACACCCTCTGTTCTGACTTCTTTTATCTCTAAGGCAAGTAGATTTGAGGCATGCCAGGGCAATAATGCATATTGGCTATTTTCGTTCTTATCATGCCATAACTCATTTCAGGAAAATCGCCAATTTATCAGCGTACACATATTATTGAACGGATGCGGTAGAACAAGCTTGATCTGGCATCCACAGTGGCTCTCTATTTTTCACTCACTTTACCTTGCATTCTGCTAACACATGGTGTTGTGTCTCGCATGCTATCTGCTATATACTAGCCTGTGTCAGACAGACTCCACTACATACAAGAAACCGATGAGATGTTGTTCGTTCGATATTCTGTTTCACGGTACTTTAAAAAATATTAATATAGCAATCCCATGATTATAGGCACCCTTTTGGGCTGCTAATTAATATTTTTGGAAATAAGCACCAGTGCTGTTTATCTGGTATTCATATAAATGTATGGAAGTCGCAGCACATGTGGGGTGTTTTGGCAGTGTTAGTACATACTCTACACAGAACAGAAAACATATAACCTCAAAATAGAATCAGATCTTTCTTGTAACTCTACATGAAGAATGAAAAGCACCAAAGTGCAAACCCTCGGCAAACTGCGCATGCATGGTACCGCTGGGCTATTAGTATGCGTTTACACGTGGTCTCCCGCTAGTAGGCAGAGAGACTGACACGGGCTAGCTACAGTATATAGTAGCGGTACAGATAATTGATGGGCTGGGCCTATTAGTATACGTTTACTCGTGATCTCCCGCTAGTAGCTCACGGAGAGTGTGACACGGACAAGCTACAGTAGTAGATACCGTGCGGGAATCGATACAAGCCCTTCGTTGTGACTTCTTGTTCCTTCAAGATACACAGAGCAAGCGGACCTGGTCGAGGTAAGCCTGTGCTAATTTGCTTGTTCACTTGCTTTTCACGCCGTAACTTTCGAACGCATAATTATTTTACGAAAATCACCTTTTTTAACTCAAGCCAGTATAGCACTGAACTCGTTACTATCGCTCTGTGAGTGATATTTTGCTTAGGTTATATCAGGAATGCGCACGCGCATATTTTGCCTCGCGCCTGCCAGCCAATGCGTAAACAGTCCGACTGAGGCCGCTTGTGCACGCACTCTACTGACTGCGCGCAAAGCCAGACTTCCTACGAATCTGCGCGCACGGCGGAAGCTAGACTTCCTACGAATGACGGAAGTTGACATTCCTAAAGCGTGACTAATTGACATTCTTAAGCGTGACCGACACGTACGCATATCGCAAGAATCACTGAAGTGCAAACCCTCGGCGCACTGCGCATGCGCGATACCACCAATTGATGGGTTGGGCCAAATTACTCGTGGTTTCCACGCTAGTAGCTTGCGAATTGAGTCTGACATGGGCTAGCTGCAGCAAGTGGGAGTCGATACACACCCTTCGTTGTGACTTCTTGTGCCTTCAAGATACACAGAGCAAGTGGACCTACTCAAGGTAAGCCTGCTTTAATTAGCATATTGGGCTTTTTCGCTCGTGTTTCACGCCATAACTCTCGAACGCAGCAGTTTCAGAGAATATATATTTTTCAACCTTTATCCTTAGTACCTGCATAAATGAAAAGCACTGAAGTGCAAACCTTCGGCGCACTGCGCATGCGTGGTACTGTTAATTGACGGGCTGGGCTATTTGTATGCGTTTACTCATAGTCTCCCGCTAGTATATAGCTCGCGGAGAGTCTGACATGGGCTAGCTACAGTAGTGGATAGCACGCGGGAGTCGATACATGCCATTCGTTGTGATTTCCTGAGCCCCCAAGGTACACAGAGCGAGCGGATCAGGTCGCAGTAAGCCCAGTGCGATTATGCATAATATTGGCTTTTTTGCATGTTTTCACAGCATATCTCTCGAACGCAGTCGTTTCAGCAAAATCGCCCTTTTTATTTTTCATGCACTTGTAGCACTGAAGCATTTGGTATGGCTCTTAGGCCACCTCGTAGCCTGTAGTGCGAGAATACAGACCAACTACTGTAACCCGACACAGACACAATTGGTGAGTAATATACAATCCGTGGGTGCCGAGAGAGGGGTGAGATGGAGGAGGTACTGTAGCTAGCCTGTGTCAGACTCTCTGTGAGCTACTAGCGGCAGACCACGAGTAAACGCATACAAATAGCCCAGCCCATCAATTAGCAGTATCGCTCATGCGCAGTTCGCTGAGGGTTTGTACTTTAGTGCTTTACATAATGAATTGGTACCTGTTCTTCCCCCCTTCTCCTCTTGTCAACACTATTACTCACCAACTGTGTCGTTTCCTATCTCAGAGGTTTCCTGACCTTTACCACCTTCATCTGGAGAGCTAAGTGAAGAGTCTGGAGCAGAAAAGACATACATAATTATAGCTACCATACAATTTAATCAATATCCACTTTCAACTACTCACGCTATAAGGAATTCATAGTTACTCACATTGCTTAACTGTGGGTCTATAATATATGCCATCAAAGGTTCAGGTACTCATTAAAAAAAAACAGCTGTCCTTGCAACAATCATAATGAGTAACCTTATAATGCCAAAAACTACTATGCCAAGGAACATTTCTAGGCTTTGTTTTACACATTTCGGGTTCCATACATTGGCATTTTCGCTCGTGTTTCATGCTATAACTCCCGAACATACTTTTCAACCTATACCTATACCCGACGCTGAATACGTGGTAATGTTTGTGGAGCGATTGATAGCTCAAGGAGTGAAATGTTATGACAGACAGACAGACAGACAGACAGACACACACACGACAACTACAGTAACCTTCGCTGTGCATGCGCGCCGAGGGTTAACAAGATATACCTATCTTTGCCGCCTGAACTTTGTCAGCGAGGGCATAGAGTCGGGAGTCTCTGAGTGTCCGGACAAGTGTCTCCCACGTCACAGGCAGTCCATTCCCCCTAAGCCACCATCGTAGGATCTGGTGACAGAGTATCTCCGGGCTCCCATGATACTCGTACTCAATTCTTTTGACTTTATTCCCCGTCGCATCGTCGAGGAGGCGGATTCCGAATACGGTGTAGTGTGTCCCAACTCCCTCAGGAACTTTGAGACGAATTAGCTCTGGCAGAGTGGGACGACCAACACCACCTGGGGAAAGTCATAGTAATTAACACACCATAGAGACACAGTGCCATGGCATGCATGCTTAAAATGTCATGATGCATGATGCAACCTGCATGCGACTTTAATTTCAAATGAAAGGGTATGATGGGTCCATTTCATGCAACTTGGTGCATGGTCTTTCATACCCATACATTTGAAGTTGCATGCAACTTTGTCTCATACAAAATGAAAAGGCACTAAAGTGCAAACGATCCGTGCTGGTTCTTCTGAGAGAAAAACACCATGTTGTTGCGAAGCGACTAAGACAGTGTTTGGAAACATAATTATCTTCTCATAGAATGGCCATTGAAAATTTAAGATTTGCCCATATCTGTACATCCTCTTTTTACCCATGGAAAATCAGCATTAGCAAAAGACTGATTCCACATTTATCTGCCAACTGCTTCTTTAATCCTGTCTTGTTACCTCCTCCCTCTCACCCCTCTCTCGGCACACACAGATTGTTCCAACCCTTCATATTACTCACCAACTGTGTCGTTTCCTATCTCAGAGGTTTCCTGACCTTTACCACCTTCATCTGGAGAGCTAAATGAATAGTCTGGAGCAGAAAAGACATATGCAATTATACCTTACAATTTGCTCAATATCCACTTTCAACTACTCATGCTATAATTGCTTAACTGTGGGTCTATGCTAAGGTTTGTACTCATTATTAAAAAACAGCTGTCCTTGCAACAATCATAAGGAGTAACCTTATAACACTTCTTTATGCCAAGAACTACTATGCCAAGCAACATTTCTAGGCTTTGTTTTAATCCCTTACATATTTCGGGTTCCATACATTGGCTTTTTCACTCTCACGCCGTAACTCCTGAACATATTTTTCAACCTATACCCGATGCTGAATACGTGGTAGTGTTTGTGGAGCGATTGATAGCTCAAAGAGTAAGATGTCGAGTAATAACTCTCGAACGTAGAAGTTTCAGAGACAACCCCACATATCTTGCGACCTATACCCGACGCTGAATTCGTGGTATTGTTTGTGGAGTGATTGATGGCTCGTGAAGTGAGATGTCATGGAACGGACTGACTGACAGACACACACACACGACAACTACAGTAACCCTCGCTGCGCATGCGCGCCGAGGGTTAACAAGATATACCTATCTTTGCCGCCTGAACTTTGTCAGCGAGGGCATAGAGTCGGGAGTCTCTGAGTGTCTGGACAAGTGTCTCCCACGTCACAGGCAGTCCCTTCCCCCTAAGCCACTCTCCTAGGATCTGGCGACAGATTCTCTGTGAGTGCCCACGATTGTTGTGCTCAATGATGTCGATTTTATCCCCCGTCACATCGTTGAGGAGGCGGATTCCGAATTCGGTGTAGTTTGTCTCAACTCCCTCAGGAACTTCGAGACGAAGTAGCTCTGGCAGAGTGGGACGACCAACACCTGGGGAAAGTCACAGTATAATTAACGCACCATAGAGACACAGTGCCATGGCATGCATGCTTAAAATGTCACGATGCATGATGCAACCTGCATGCGACTTTAACTTCAAATGAAAGGGTATGATGGGTCCATTTCATGCAACTTGGCGCATGGTCTTTCATACCATACACTTGAAGTTGCATGCAACTTTGTCTCATACAAAATGAAAAGGCACTAAGAATGCAAACGATCCGTGCTGGTTCTTCTGAGAGAAAAACACCATGTTGTACATACAATAGCTACAATATCTCCAACAGAACCTCAGACATTTTTGAGAGGATATGGCACATACACAACACAACATACAATGAGAATTCTACCTACCTGCTGTTCTGGAAAGTGGACACATCTCTGAATACATCTCTGAAGTGAAAAGATAAAGTTACCTAGGCTGTCTATGTAGTATAACATTGTATATACCTATGATATCATCCACAATAGGTTTCACGGCGCCAGTGTCAGGCAGCATTCTAATGAAGACCTCGTAGTCAGAGACATTGGAGCTGATCCTGGTCAGAGCCACATCAATTAACTCAGAGGCACCGATATCAGCTCCTAGACCCAGCCAGCCTCTGAGATTGTACAGAGTGAGCAGGAATTGTCTGGTCCATCCGCCAGACTCCTTGCCAGTTGATCCTTGTACTGTAGCACTGCTTGGTACTACTCTCTGCGGAGAAGCGTCCTCTTGGTGCTGGGGAGAACGTCCTTCCTCCCCTTGGTGCTGGGAAGAACGTCCCTCCTCCCCTTGGTGCTGGGAAGAACGTCCCTCCTCCCCTTGGTGCGTGGAAAATAAACTCCTCCTCCCTTGTGCTGGTGATGAAACGTCTCTCCTCTCCCTTGGTGGTCTGGGAAGATGCGTCCCTCCTCCCTTGGTGCTGGCAGAACGTCCTCCTCCCCTGGTGCTGGTAGAACGTCCCTCACGCTCCTTGGTGCTGGAAGAGACGTCCCTCCTACCCCTTAGTTCCGTGGAGAACTTCCCTCTCCCCTTGTGCGTGGAGAACGTCCGACTCTCCCTTGGTGCCAGGGAAGACGTCTCCTCCCCTTGGTGCCGGGAAGAACGTCCCTCCTCCCCTTGGTGCCGGAGAACGTCCCTCCTCCCCTTGGTGCCGGGAGAACGTCCCTCCTCCCCTTGGTGCTGGGGAGAACGTCCCTCCTCCCCTTGGTGCTGGGGAGAACGTCCCTCCTCCCATTGGTGCTGGGAAGAACGTCCCTCCTCCCCTTGGTGCTGGGAAGAACGTCCCTCCTCCCCTTGGTGCCGCGGAGAACTTCCATCTTCCCCTTGGTTCTGGGGAGAATCTGCTTCAACTATATAAAGAACAAGGATAATATTCATTACTTGCCAAGATATGATGCGTGTTAGTCCACACACAAATTCCCTAGCTCCTAAACACTTAATATGTATTAGTTATTACACCCCTAAGAGGTATGTTGCTGGTTTATAGACCCGAGTGGGGAGGGCAGGTGAACATGAGACATGAGAAGGCAGGTGGTTTCACACCCACCACTTAACAACCAGATATAGCACCCTTCACACCTTAAGTATTAGTTAATGTACCCGCGCGAGTGCACTACCGTATATAACGTACGAGGGATGCGTAGAGAGGCTAATAAAGCACGAGATGCATTATTAGGCATCGAGTGTGAAAATACGGAGCATTTGAAAAGCGAAGCAGAAAATGGCGGCATGGTGCTATGAAGCGTTTGACTTGGGCATGGGAGACTGGACGGACGAGCCGGAGGAAATGTCGGTACAGCCTCCTCCTCCCAGGCTACGCCTCTCTCTTGGCAAGGAAGCGCGTCCTCTGCGAGACACCACAAATCTCCGTTTTGCTGAGCCCGTGAGTACTGCGGAGCTAAAACGCAGCCAAAGGGGTTATTCCAACGAGCACCGCAGCTGCTACTCAATGTGCTGTCAAGAATTTTGAGAGCTGGGCACGTAGCAGTCCCTCATCTTCTACCGATGCGGTTCCGTCTGACCTGTTGATGAGCCATGAAGCAGATTTGGTGTGCAAGTGGTTATGCCGGTTCGTGTGTCAAATGGTGTTGTGTAAACTAGGAGCCATATTTGGAAAAAGCATTGTGCATAATAAAGCACTGGAGGGAAGCACTGCCTGCAACAATGCAGCAGTGTTCAATATGGCACTCCTTTTCCCCTTTGATGTTTTGTGACACAGTACACTAACACCCAGATATAGCACTCTTCATACCTCGTTAGGATTCAAAATAAATGGCAACCACCTGAACCAGGCTATAAGTATGTGCGTACATACCTCTCTCCATTAACTTCTCCACCAGGTCCTTATATGCCAGGTCACGAGAGAATATGCCAACAAATGTAATAAACCAGCGTCTTCTCTCATCTGACGCTCGTATTTTCGTAAAAACACTGTCCAACAGCAGGCCGGCTTGTCGAGAAGGAGGCACTCCAGGTGTACCGAGTATGTCCTGAGCGTCTCGCTGAGTAATGAACGTCTTTTCCACGAGGCAGTTGGCAAACCATTGCGGAGGTCCTGCCACCGTTACGGCCGCAGTTACGAGACCAAGGGTAGAGTTCAGTGCGGTGATCTCCACGGGCTCTCCGCTGCCCGCCATCGTGAACAGGTTGCCCAATCTATAGCTGATAACACAGGGCTAAAAACCGCTCAGGAACGCCTTACAAAGTAATTTTCTTGCGACGACAAGGCGAGTCGACGTTGTCTCTTCGCGTGGTCACAGGTCGCCACCTTCGCTAGAGGTCCAGTCCTCCCAGCATTGGGCGTGGCATTTTGTGTTCCCCTCCATATGCGCATGCGTGTCACAAACGGCGCAAACACATGGGTTCATGACTAATGTACAAAAACGTGTAGCTATGCATGACTGTGGTTAGTCGGTGCAGTCTCTAGGTGTACATGGGATAGGTTTTGGGAGTCCACTGCAGACAGGAGGGGTCAAGGGTCGCGGGACTTCCCTTGCGACTCTCCAACTTCTTGGCATGTTCATCCAGCACCTCCTGTCAGTGGGGGAAATGGGAGTTTGAGAGATGTGTGAAACACTTGACAAGGTTTACTGCCCGGGTTTGTCCACCCCCTCACAATCTAGAAGACTGCAGTTTTGTCAGACCTTTCTCCTGAGGACGATGTGTTTTTCCCTTCCAGTATTTGAGGAGGCCGTAGTACTGCATGGTGGAGACTAGATCGTCACACTTGATACCTGATTCCTGACTCAACTCTGCATGTGGGGACCAGGGGAGGAAGGGAGAGGATGAGGGGGAGGTGGTGTGGAGAGCATGTAGTCACACAAGTTTCTTTACTACAAACTGCATTCCTCTCTCCTCCTTTTTAAGAGTGTACTTTGTAAGGGCATGGGAAAGGGGCATTTTCACAACAAATATCACTCACACTGGCATTCCTTACTGCTGGTGTCATAAACAGTGAATATCCACACTTCATGCAATTGTATATACCAGTAGGAGGGATAAAGGTTCACCTTTGACAGAGAACTCAGAGCAGCTGGAGCGAGAGGAAAGAGGAGGAGGAGGAGGAGGAGGGGGAGGGGGAGAGTTTCAACATGTGTGTGAGGATGACCTCCCTCCAGTAGCTGCGGTAGGAGATGAGACCCAGGTCCGACAGAGGTCGCTCAGGTGACCCCACCTTCTCCTCACGTCGTGTCAACAGGTAGCCTGCAGGAATGGAGGAATCTTACTTGTGAGACTAAAGTAATGCATGAGTCTTTTGTGATATTGATTTACATTTTGGACCCATTTATCTGCTACTAACAGAGTGCTCTTCAAAAGTAAGATTCCTCCATTCCTGCAGGCTACCTGTTGACACGACGTGAGGAGAAGGTGGGGTCACCTGAGCGACCTCTGTCGGACCTGGGTCTCATCTCCTACCGCAGCTACTGGAGGGAGGTCATCCTCACACACATGTTGAAACTCTCCCCTCCCCCTCCTCCTCCTCCTCCTCCTCTTCCTCTCGCTCCAGCTGCTCTGAGTTCTCTGTCAAAGGTGAACCTTTATCCCTCCTACTGGTATATACAATTGCATGAAGTGTGGATATTCACTGTTTATGACACCAGCAGTAAGGAATGCAGTGTGAGTGATATTTTGTTGTGAAAATGCCCCTTTCCCATGCCCTTACAAAGTACACTCTTAAAAAGGAGGAGAGAGGAATGCAGTTTGTAGTAAAGAAACTTGTGTGACTACATGCTCTCCACACCACCTCCCCGCTCCTCCTCTCCCTCCCTCCCCTGGTTCCCACATGCAGAGTTGAGTCAGGAATCAGGTATCAAGTGTGACGATCTGGTCTCCACCATGCAGTACTACGGCCTCCTCAAATACTGGAAGGGAAAACACATCGTCCTCAGGAGAAAGGTCTGACAAACATGCCGTCTTCTAGATTGTGAGGGGGCGGACAAACCGGGCAGTAAACCTTGTCAAGTGTTTCACACACTCTCTCACACTCCCATTTCCCCCGCTAACAGGAGCTGCTGGATGAACATGCCAAGAAGTTGGAGAGTCGCAAGGGAAGTCCTGCGACCCTTGACCCCTCCTGTCTGCAGTGGACTCCCAAAACCTATCCCATGTACACCTAGAGACTGCACCGACTAGAGCACACCTCATGCATAGCTACACGTTTTTGTACATTAGTCATGTTTTTCCACTCAAGTGAACACTTGTATGTTGCACTGAGATGCCAACCAGCTCTGCATAGAAAGTGTAGCTCGAGATGCACCAACCCTGTCATGCCTGATGATAGTGAAACGTTTGTGACACGCATGCGCATAGGAGGTGGAACACAAAATGCCACGCCCATGCAATGCTAGCTAGTTAGCAGGGAGGACACGACGAGCACTTGTTTGTGTGTACAGCCTATATAGCTATAATGAAGGCGGCGACCTGTGACCACGCGAAGAGACGACGTTGATTCGCCTTGTCATCGCAAGAAAATTACTTTGTAAGGCAATTACCCACGTTCCTAAGCGGTTTTTAGCCCTGTGTTGTCAGCTATAGATTGGGCAACCTGTTCACGATGGCGGGCGGCGGAGAGCCCGTGGAGATCACCGCACTGAACTCTACTCTTGGTCTCATAACTGCGGCCGTAACGGTGGCAGGACCTCCGCAATGGTTTGCCAACTGCCTCGTGGAAAAGGCGTTCATTACTCGGCGAGACGCTCAGGACATACTCGGTACACCTGGAATGCCTCCTTCTCGACAAGCTGGCCTGCTGTTGGACAGTGTTTTTACTAAAATACGAGCGTCAGATGAGAGAGGACGCTGGTTTCTTGCATTTGTTGGCATATTCTCTCGTGACCTGGTATATAAGGACCTGGTGGAGAAGTTAATGGGGAGAGGTATGTACGTACATACTTATAGCCTGGTTCAGGTGGTTGCCTTTTATTTTGAATCCTAACGAGGTATGAAGAGTGGGTGTTAGTGTACTGCGTCACAAAACATCAAAGGGGAAAAGGAGTGCCATATTGAACACTGCTGCATTGTTGCAGGCAGTGCTTCCCTCCAGTGCTTTATTATGCACAATGCAGTTTCCAAATGTGGCTCGTAGTTTACACAGCATTGTTTGTACAGTTGGAAATGTGAAATGCACGAAACGGCATAACCACTTGCACACCAAATCTGCTTCATGGCTCATCAACAGGTCAGACGGAACCGCATTGGTAGAAGATGAGGACCTGCTACGTGTCCAGCTCTCATAATTCTTGACATTGAGTAGCAGCTGCGGTGCTCGTTGGAATAACCCCATTGGCTACGTTCTCTAGCTCCACAGTATTCACGGGCTCAGCAAAACGGAAATTTGTGGTGTCTCGCAGAGGGCGCGCTTCCTTGCCTAGAAGTCTCATGTTCACCTGCCCTCCCCACTCGGGTCTATAAACCAGCAACATACACCTCTTAGGGGTGTAATAACTATTGTACCACAGAAGCCCTAGAAATCAAAGTCACCACATGCAGTGTATGCGCACTAAGACAACTTATTAGTATGCATGCCATGGTGTATGGTGTGCTGACTCAGCCATACACTCACATGCGTATGAGCTCTCATACACCATGGCATGTAATAAGTTGTCTTAGTGCGCATTCCTGTGGTACAAATTGGTTACACACTACACCCACGAGAGGGTTTAGTGGACATACACTCGGGAGTGCGCACCTATATATACATTGAGTGTTTAGGAGCTAGGGAATTTGTGTGTGGACTAACACGCATCATACCTTGGCAAGTACTGAGTGATTATCCTTGTTTCGTTATCTAGTTGAAGCGATCTTTCTCCCCAGACCAAGGGAGATGAAGGTCTGTACATAGCACCAAGGGAGGAGGGACGTTGCTTCCCATCAGGGGAGGAGGACGTCTTCCCTATCACCAAGGGGAGTGGGGACGTTCTCCAGCACCAGGGGAGGAGGACGTTCTTCTTCTTCCCAGCACCAAGGGAGGAGGGACGTTCGCCCCATCACAAGGGCAGGAGGGCACGTCTCCCCAGCACAAGGAAGGAGGGACGTTCTCCCAGCACAAGGGAATGGAGGACATCTCTCCCTGGCACCAGGGGAGTGCAGTGGACGTTTCTTTCTTCTTCCCAGCATACAAAGGTACTCATGCTCCCAGCTACCAAGCGAGTGCTACAGTCCGGAGGATCAACTTGCAAGGAGTCTGGCGGATGGACCAGACGAATTCCTCCTCACTCTGTACAATCTCAGAGGCTGGCTGGGTCTAGGAGCTGATGTCGGTGCCCCTGAGTTGATTGATGTGGCTCTGACCAGGATCAACTCCAACGTCTCTAACTACGATGTCTTCATTAGGATGCTGCCTGACACTGGCACCATGAAAGCTATTGTGGATGCTATCATAGGTATATACAGTGTTATACTTAACAGACAGCGTAGTTAACTTTCTCTTTTCACTTCAGATATGTGTCCACTTTCCAGAACAGCAGGTAGGTAGAATTCTCATTGTATGTTGTGTTGTGTATGTATCATCTTCCCTGTCCCAGTTGGAAGAAGAGATCCTGACCCTGTGCCGCTGTCCCAGAAAGCCTCATACCTTGGTTAGTGTGCAAGGTTTAAGTCTGTACATAGTACGAGAATTCCAACCTGCTCATGTATGCATACATTTGCATGTCTAGAAATGCCATACAAGCATGAAAGTATATATGAGACAAAGTTGCATGCAACTTCAAGTGTATAGGTATGAAAGACCATGTGCCAAGTTGCATGAAATAATTGTGTTGCATGACCCATCATACCTTTCATTGAAGTTAAAGTGCCTGTCGTGTTGTCATCATGCATCATTACCTTTTTTAAGCATGCATGCCATGGCACTCTGACTCTATGGTTTGTTAAGTAACTATGACTTTCCCTCATTGTTGGTTGTCCCCTCTTCTAGGCTATTTCGTCTCAAAGTTTCCTAAGGGAGTTGAGACAAACTAAACCGTATTCGGAATCCTGCCTTCTCAACGTTATCGGGGGATAAAATCGTCAATCATTGATCCGACCATCGTGGCACTCACATATAATCTGTCGCCATATTCCTAGGAGAGTGTCTAGGGGAGGGACTTGCCTGTGACTTGGAGACACTTGTTCCAGACACTCAGAGACTCCCTGACTCTATTCCCTCGCTGACAAAGTTGAGGCGGCAAGGTAGGTTTTCTTGTTTTACAACCCTCGGCGCGCATGCGCACGAGGTACTGTAGTTTGTCGTGTGTGTGTGTCTGTCAGTCAGTCCGTTCCATGACATCTCACTTCAAC